CTAATTGTATTATAGTAAGTACAAAATCCTTTAAGCAGACTCCTGTATCTATAGATTATTCATCTAGATATCTCACAATTGTGAAGTGACCTATGAATCTATACAGTGTAATCAAAATGTAACCATAGTTTTGTTACGCTTAGCATCACTTTGGAAAGGAAGATAGGTCAAAATCTTATACTTTAAAAATTTACTGTCCACATTTTTCATTAGTTTATCATTTACACTGAAATGTCCGCCTCATCAAATTAAGGAACCTGTTGCATACACAATACCTACATGCTATATCTTCCATTTCTTTTTTTACAAAATATATTTTCCTGGAAGTACATTCCATTATTAAATGTATCTTTTTGGAAAATTTAAACTGCTGAAAAGATTATAGCCCTAAAATTGCTCAGAGGGACTGCAAGCCATAACCTCCAGTTTTAACCAACAGTAACATCAAAACACACAGCAAATCTTGCAATAATCCCTTGTACCGACAAGTAATAAATAGAAACTATATTCAATTCAGATGAAACTCTGTATATAAACACATGCCATATGCATGCATATACATTTAAAATCAGGTATAGCTAATTGAAAAATGTGCTGTACAAAATCTATCAAATTACATAATGAAAAGGCTGGAGAACTAAAATAAAACTGCTCAATATCTTCTTTACAATTAATCACACAACATAAAAAAATCAGATGGGGTCTGGGAAGAGACTATACTGCAACTACGGGTCAGATTAGTAGTTTGTTTATTCTAACTTTCCATTTCTCTGCGAGGTGTCTATTCTATTGCAGAAGCATTTCTTTATGAAGGGAGCCAGCTTTACAATGGTAAGTCTCCTTTTCCATTTAGTGTCATTTGTTGTACTCTCAAAACTTAACTAGACATAAACCAGACAAATTCACAGGGATTATTCATGTCGGCTTCAAATACAGAGTTTATCCATCATGGTACTAATAATTTATAACACCCAGTATTTACTATGCTAGATAGTTCATTAGATGGGATACTTTGCATCTGTTCCAGTCACACTCAGTAATAGCCTGTCCTGCCCCCAATTTTAGTTGGTATATCAAATAGGCTGTTGAGTTTTCACATCAGACTTAATTGAGAGCCTTACATCCTTAATCACAAACTTGTAATAACAAAACTGTTTAAATATTTCATCAAAATGCCCCAACAACAATGAAACACTTTTTCTCCATAGTCTCGGAACTTAGAATTATCAACGCCGACAAACTCAACCCCATCTAACCTCATGTATAGTAACTATATTTTAAAATAAAATGAAATGGAATAAGTTTTAGGGTTATCCTAGTATAAACTGCTCAAAGCCTGCAAACTGGGGGGAGGAGGAGCAGGCTAAAAAACCCACAATGATAAGGGAAAAGCACAGTATTTTGGGACCTTAAAAAAAGCATCAGTTTGAACGCCTTCATTAATTTGTCCCAGAATCTTAATGTTAAAGGGGACTTTAATTTCCCATTACAATAAATGCATTGTATCCTATGTTACAAAACACATTTTGCATAGAATACTGAGAGAGCTATATTTAGGAATGTGATTTACAAATCAGAACCATCACCTGAATGCACTCAAATGATGAGATGAGCTAGTGCAGGGCAATAATTTTCAGAGTTTGTGATTGTGGGCTGGCTCTGGCTCCCTGGAAGCCAGAAGAGGAGGTTCCTTCTAGGTGCCACATGCCCATGGTGGGGCAGAGGAGACTTTGCGCACTCTGGGGGCAGAGGAACGGATGAAATCTCTCATCCCCCACATCCGTACACGGTGTCTAAAGGGAACTGTCAGCCATTTTGAACAGCTGGCAGTTCCCTCTAGGTGCCATTACCCCTAGACTTTGTGCGCTCCCCCATCCCAAGCCAATCAGGGGAGTGTGCAAAATCATCTGCTGTTCAAAATGGCTGGCGGCTCCCTCTAGGTGCTGCACACCCGTGGCAGATGGAAGGAGTTGCCAGCTACTTTGAGCAGTGAATGACTACATGCACTCCCTTGCCCCGAGGTCTCAATTGGCCTGGTGGTGGGGGGAGCAGCAGGATGGGCCATGGGCCATATCAAATGACTTGACAGGATGGATCTGGTCTGCGGGCATATCTTGTCCACCCCTGAACTAGTGCATTGAATTGATAACATGGTGCTATTTCTACATCCAATTTATAAATAATTTAAGACATCTAAAGACCTAGTCTAACACTTATGCATATACATTTACTTACCCAAATAGTCTCATGATGCCTTGAATTCAATAGCCATTTGCATACTTGGGAACTTAGGGTATGTCTATGCAGTAAAAACAACTCTTTGCCTGACCCATGAGCCCAGCCCAGGCTCATGGGGCTTGGGATGGTTTAGCTGCTGTGTAGACTTTGAGGTCTGGTTGGAACCCAAGTGCTAGGACACTCCCATCCTAGAGTCCTGGAGCTTGAGCTCCCGACTGGGCATTCAGTCTTCCCAGCAATGAAATTACCCTGCAGCCCAAGTTAGCTGACACTAGCCAACTGTGGGATTTTCTGTGCTGTATAGATATGATCTTAGTTTCCTTCATTTTTCAAGACGCTTCGTATAAAGTTATTGACTTATTATATTTGAACCTGATTTGGGTTTATGCAGGCATCTGGTTAGCATATGCTGAATTATATGAATGCATTTTATTTACATAGTAGACTGGAATATCTCCCACTTTGTAAAGGAAAATAGGTTTTCACTTACTCGATAATTTGTTTTCTTGGTTCAGAGATGCTCTGCCGTCTTTCCTCCTCTCTTGCTTCAATAGGCACAATGACCACTAATAATTGCCCATAGGTCATCCTTCTCCTTTGCTTCCCCAGTTTAATGCCTAAAAACTGTTAGAGGTCTCTACAGTTCTACATCTGTAACCAAGGATGTTGTCCATATCTGGCTTTGAAAGTCCAGTAAGGTGGGAGTTTGCACTGTCTCAACCAAGCTACAGAAGACAAGCCCAGTGATAAATGGAAATATAACATACCTTTCTACGGCTCACTATCAGCACTGACGTGGGTTTTATTAGGAGAATCCTATTTATAAAAGGAAAAAATTAGAGACTCGAGGATAAACTGAAAGAGGAAGAGAGATGGGTGAATGGGGTTTGACACCTTCACTCTATCCTTCTAAAAGTACTTTTCAGAGATTCACCATAGTCACAGGATGCACCCATACATGCCTGAAAATTCAGTCACATAGTTTGCAATGAAACAGTGCAGAAATTACTAGGTTTCAGCTTTGTGAGGCTTTTGTATTGACACTGTCTTCCTTCAGCTGCAGAAGATGGCTCTGACTCTAGCAGAGTGTGAACCAAGAAGGAAATTCTGCTCTTTTCAACCTCCTGAATATGGTCAAGATCCACTTTGCAATGACATATCTAGAGTCCCTGAGACAGTTCCTTGAATGCTAGAAGAGAGTGAAGGTTTCTAACCTAACAGAATTAAATCTGTTCTGAAAACTAGTGTGTACCCCTTCCATATTAGGATTGGACAGACTCTGAAAGTAGACTTCAGATGAAAACAGAGAAAGGTATGAAGAACTCTCTCGGAAGACCAAAGATGGAAGAAAATGGGTAGACATGGAAAGCTCTTTCACTCCCTTGCTAGCTCACCACTTGATCAAGGAACTATTCTCAAGGTAAACATTTTCAAATGTACTGGAAAACATTGAAAAGTGGCCTGCATAAGTTGAGAAAGGTAGGTTCAGAACTCACTGAAGGCACTGGGCAGGACTGGAGGGTGGAAAAATGCCACAAGCTTCAGAAAATATGGAACCAGGGAAGACAAACACACTAACATCCCATCTTTTGGAACCTCTAAGGTGCTTAGAGCAGAGGTTTGATCTGATGGAATGACTAGGCTTTTGATAGAAGCTTTGGTCAGAAATCTAAGCAAGCTAGAATTCTGACCCAATTAGTTCAGAGGGAAAAGACCCACCTCGCTTAGCCTTCATGGGGGAAAAGGGGAAGAGCCTATTTCCAATAAAAAGTGGAAAAGAAACTCTTTTCATGTCTGTGGCACAGCTGGGTCCTCCTTTTCAAAGATACCCAAGTCCTTCAAGAGCAAGCCAAAGAGAAAATTTTGGGCATCTGAATCAGAATATTCTGAGACCTGCAGAAGATGGTCCTGGCAGAAAGGCTTTTCTCTTGGGATGGCATCAGCAGGTCCTCATACCAAGTCTGCAGTCACAGTCTTTTAAAAATCCAGATTTGTTGTCTCAGATTTGATGAACATTACAAAAATATTAGGTTTTGGGCTGAAACCTGGAATTTCAAGTTTCAGGTAAAGTGACAATTTTCAGATGAGTTATTAACACTCCCCTCCTCATACACTGTATTAATGTTATAAGGATTGTGACGAAAAGCCTAGACCATGCTGTGCTGTTTGGAGAGAAGATCTGATTGCACAAATCACCATCATTGCCAAGTAAAGTGAGCTATATACTTGAGGTCTCAAAGTATCTACATTCAGAGCAACATATAGTTCTCAGTTGTGTGGTATTCTCTTCAGTGTCTGATAATATAACAGTTACATACCGCAGTGTCACTGGTATTATTCTTGTGTGTTCATTTGTAAGCTATAGAATGTTTGGTTGCCTAAGTCAATTAATTCACTCTTAAAACTTTCTTTTGGCAATAGTAAAGACCAATTAAAGTGACTAGTTGTGCCATTCTCCTATATTTGAAGTAGTACCTCTAGATTTGTTCTATTAATAGCAGAATAGGTAGTAGTTTGTACCAAAATATTAAGTAAGCAACTGTTTTAACTTTACTAGCTAAGACAAAAATTAATAGTTTTAAAGAAAAGCCACATAGTTTTGAGTTGATACACACATGCCATCTAATCAGTGTTTTCCTTTGACTTCTGTGTCCTTGCTGTACACTGTACACATTAGGAAACAATTGTCTTGGCTGTTCAGTAAGAGAAACACTGAAGACCACAGTCATATAGCTACTAATTATTTACAATAATTCACAGCATACAGGAAATCACTTTACTTTTTGTATAAAAATGTCAACAGATGGTTGAAAAGCCATTACAAATACAATAAACTCAACACACAGGCAAGCTTTTTCTTTCCATCTGCTGAAGTCTTTTGATGTTGGAAATCAATATGCTTCCCAATGAATTCTAATGAAAATTAAAAATAAGTATTCTATTAGTATCTGCTATAATTTTACATTTTCTTGACTTTTTCTGTCCATTTAGCAACCACAGAGATTTTTTTAAAAGTCAACCTAACTTTTAGGGAATTATTCTTTCCAACTTTTACTGTCACTAAAAAAAAGTAAAATATATAAAATATTTTCCCTAAATTCACAAGTGCTAGCTATAGACACTCTCAACAACATGACATTACATTAAATTCAAAATGACTAGTGGTCAAATCCCAACCCCACTGAAGTCCACAACAACACTATCATTGACTTAAATGGAGCCAAGATTTCATCATAGGTGTTTTGTACCATTTCCAAAACAAGAATAGAGTGATCAGTGCTAACAATTACTATATTAATAATTTCCTTTGAAATAACAGGCAGGCCAGATATCATCCTTTTTCATTGAATGAACTAAGTCATCAAGTTTAACATAAGGAATACAGAAGTCTTTTTAGCTGCAGCCTAGCTATTTAAATAAAATTCAGAGAGTGGAGACACCTATTCAATGTTTATCCAGGAAATGGACAAGTACATTCTCTTGTCAAATTAAGCAGCACAATAACAAGCCTGACAGCCCTCAAATTTCAATTGTTTGAATATCCCATTTTTCTTTATACATCTGGTGCAAGCATCTTTCCAAGAATTATAACATTAAAAGAAAAAAACTCACTATGCCTCTTTGGGGCATTATTAAAGATGGGAATTCCAAAAAAATCAGCATACCCTAGCTCTGCTCCCTATGAAATCAATGCAAGTTTTAACTAATGACTTCAAAGGGGGTGGAGCTAGGCCAACACTATGTGCTTTCAGAAAGCTATCCTAAGTTTCTGAGCATCATCTCTCCACTCTTCTGTACCTCCATTAACTGAGTGCACAGAAAGAGTTCTGCTCTTCAAATGAATAATCCCAGACAATTAAGTGGCATAGGATGAAATGCATTAAGTTTCCACAAACCAAAATAAACCTGGTAGTCTAAAGCCTACCATTCATAGTATTACATTTTAACAACAAAATCCTTCTGATCAAATTTAGGCATGTATATTACATTAAAATTATTCTTGGATATTATTACATTTCAATATATTTTGTCGACAGAAAATTATAAAGGTTGTATGTGATTTGTGGTGTTAAGAGAGTTTAGGAAGAATATTTTCTCTTTAGAAAGAAATCAACTGTTTAGGCTACATTGAAAAACAAGACTGTGGGATGTCTTCTGTGAAAATACCACCAGTTGAATCAATGACAAACTATGTGAGTTACAGCATGCGGAAACAACCTCTGAGTTCTAACTAGTTGGCCTAGCACCTATAATAATTTATTTATTGAACAGCTAGTTGCTTCTTTACTTTGACTAGACCAATGCAATAACCACGTTGAGTAGAATACAGGAGAGTTTTCAAAATTGTTCCTGGACTTGTATTTGAAACTAGTATTATGATTACCATAAATTGGGGAGTAGAAGTGAAGAAAAAAGTCTGCTTGAACTGCATTTCTTGGACCTCAATTAGTTATTCTTGTTCCATTTCCAATTAATTATCATTAGCGCCAATATTTGTACATAGTTTTTATTTAAAATTAAATCAAAGGTTCCTGAAAGATAGAAGATTTAAACTTTGAAGATTGAAGATGCTTTTTAATTCCACAGGTAATATACATTAGAGTAGAAGCACCTAAAGATTCTTTTCCAACATGAATCACTTTCTTCAAAAGATAATATGTACGTTCAAACTGATTCAGTGTAAGTACTGATTTCGTTCAGCAAAAACATTAAACTCCAAATATGTGGAGTTTCATGATACTGCAACCTATTGATGAAATATATAAGAATTGGGTTCTGTCAGCAGATACTGAGACATAGGTGGGAAAAGAGAAGGCCTAATATTAAAATATTAAATAATATAGTGCTTATAACAAAACTACATAACCTCTTGAATTTCTAACTAGTACAAATATTTATTTTCAAAAACTATTAAATGTGTCATCCTATTAGTGGCTGCAGAAGAAGAGAAAGCCAGGGATGCTAACACTACTAGTTATAAGGCGTACAGAATAGGAGATACTGTTCAGGCTTCCCCCACATGATTCTTTGAATGAACATTAATGCAGAAGAGCATATTTACCCACTTCACGGTTTTGCTGTATCTCTTTGGTAATTTTATAATGAAATTACTTTCAGTTTTTATCTCTAAAGGGAAAAGTTTTCTAAAATGTTGCTGTCCCTTTCATTACCAAATGAATCTAATTTCCAAGTTCAGAATGGTCTTTGACACTTTAATACACATTCTTTAAAAACAACGAAATGGTTCAAGTGAAATGAGCTCAACTGTATATATTTTACATTACATAGTAATAAACTGAATAACTGTGCAGCATTCTATATTAACTAGTAACTGCACACAAAGTTTCTTGCAATAGTTAATGTAGAAACCTAAGAATTACACACATTTCGCCACAACTTTCACAATTTTTATTACAGATTTCCAGAGATTTTCTAATAGATGTATTTTTTATTTGGGAAACAGTTATGGTTAACCGTTGCCTCTACAGGAAAAAACAACAATTTGTTATTTTGTTTATTTGTGTACATTAAGGTATTCAGAATGCAAAGAAAGGCCAGAATTTTTAAAAATTCCCGTGAATAAATTTAGCTAAGCATCTCTACGTATTGCTGAAGCTTTGCTGTAAATCTTTCAAAGTTTTAATGGATTTTGCCATGTATTCTGCCATGTATTCACAATAACCTATTGCAGATACCTATATTTTATACTACTTTATTTTAATAAGTCTACAGAATTGTATAACATATCATCCAACTGCAGTGCAATAAAGCATAGTGCTGTGAAGGTGCCAGGTAGTATCTCTTCAACTTCTAAACAACAACATTCTTTCTGAACACGTCCGTCCCACCAAACTTGCATACTGCTGAACACTGGCTTCATCACTTGGCCCCTTGCATCTTTTCTTATACACGCTGTAAGGCATTACAATTCTCTTGTGAAGAACCCGAACTCGGCCCAGTTCTTTAATACAACCTTCATCAACTGCAAAAAGAAATAATCGATACAAATTAATAAACAATGTCCTTGTTAGTATGCATTTCCTCACTTTTTTAATAAACAAAAGGTAATGCACCTATGGGCTCTCTTTAGTACTAAAGAATAAAATAACTTTATTTTGCACTGATCTATATGCATGGATTGTCGTACAGGTTGAACCTCTCTAGTATGGCACCCTTGGGACCTGACTGGAGGCCAAACCAGAGAATTTACCCAACCACAGGAGGTCAAACTTGTCTAGCACTTCCAATGCTTATTGGGCTCTTATAAGACATTTAGGTATAAATTAGAGGTAAATAACAGCACAGAACACTGAGAGCCAGGACTGGTTGCTATACACAAACTTTATGGAGCTGCCAGAAACTTGGCTACACCTATGGTAAGTGAACATCCAGCAATCATGCCAGACTAGAGAGGTTTGACATGTATGACCTTAATCACAAGTTGAAAAACATGCATCTGTGATGAGTGAAAATAAATCATGTATCTACCCACCTGAAATGCTTAGGTCTGATGTTTCTAGCACACATAAAAGCTTTACTCAATTTTGTGTTCAGTAGAGATCCAGGCCAGAAGCTGTACAGTATTGGAAACTATTTTCCAATGTAAGAGACCAAAATGGTCTTCCTACACTTGCCATAGAGCAATGTTATTTTTGACAACTACATCATAGAATCATAGCATACTAGGACTGGAAGGGACCTCAAGAGGTCATCATTACAAAGGATTTTGCTATAGCATGAGATCTCTTTCCTTGGCAGAAAAAGGTCTCACAAACATTTCTGGGGTGTAAATGCGGCAACAAAATTTCTTCCCAAACTGAAGACAGCTTTATCACACCTGCTGCTAGCCTCTCTTGCACTCCTCCATTAATACCAATCTGCTGGATCAAGCATGTGTCCTGTATTACTTAACCATTTTCAGTCTCATACCATAGTCCTGAGGATCCAAATAAACAGGGTCAACAGTACTCATCTGACTCCCTAGACTTTCAGGACACAGACAGGTTGCAAGGTTTATCCATAGTTATATTTTACTAACCTAATGGACAATATCACTCTGATTTATTCAAACAAACAACCTGGAAGAACATTGTATTGAATATGTTAAAACTTCCCTTGTTGGCATCTAGTTATTGCTGCTATTGCTGAATGTTAATTTAATTTGTGTTACTATTTATATCTCAGGCAAAATGATTCTAGAGTAACTGGGAATCCAAATTTTTTACTTAAGAGAATAACTACTCATATGCCTGAAGCAGTTTCAGAGTACATTAATAAGGTTTTTACAAAGTGTTTAAAGAAAACATTGGTTTGCTGAACACAAGGTTTACATGACCATTAATACAAAAATCAACTTAAAAACTAAAACGTATGTTTGGGAAGTAGAACTATTTGATTATGCTAAGTGAAAATACAGCAAAGAGACATGTTGTTTGCTGCCCTGTCTCGGAAAAGTAAGCTGATTCCAGCCGCACCAGTGCTCTCCCACAAGGGAGTTCTGAACGCAATGGGAGTCAGCCGAACCTCGAGACCCAGCAGATATGTGAAGGAGTGACGACTCCCCTTATTTCATGAGCTGCTGATAAGGTCTGACACTCTAGACCCAGCAGACCCCTTCTTTGGAGTGTGTAGATTTAGTTTCCTATAAGCCACTGAACGGACGGGGAGTGGACAGGATACTCCCCTGAATGACTAAAATGGATGGGGATCAGTCTAAGCATACCCCCCGGACTGCTGAAAGGGACCCCTGCATACTACATGTACGTGCATCATAGTCCAAGGACCTGTAAGCATTTGACAGATTGACAGAGAAAGAAATTAAAGCCCTGAGGGATGAGATTGAAGCTCAGAAAAGCAAAAATCCACGGTGAAGGGGGTAATAAGAAAGCCCATCCTCCTTACCACATTAATACTGGACAAACGTATCATTAGGAAGGGTCATTTAGCAGGAATCAGGACAGATCATAAGAAGGAATTAAGCGACTGTTGTAATATATGAAGAGAAACCTGCTTTAAAAAGTGACTCCTTGTTTCTTGCAGCCTTTTTCAATAATCCAGGCAAAGAAACAATCAAATTTAACTATTTGGCTACAGACTCTTTTGTTAAATCTGCAAAAGGAAAATAAGGAATTCTATTGACATTTAACTGGTTAACTGTATAAAAGAATGAAATCTATACATTCAATCCTTAAGGTTAAATTTACTCTTTAAGAAAACAAATCTTTGTTTTAAGAATCCAAGCCCTGAAACTTCACTGTGTCTCTGTTCAAAGCTGAGTTGATAACACTTTTGACTTGCTTTCAAATCCAACATTATATGTGAATACAGGCTGCCTAGCTATTTCAAAGGAATATAAAACACCTGTCCCCTCAAGTAAATTGTCCAAATACAAACAAAATATTTATAAGCGCCCATTTAACAAAATTTAATGTCAATATTATTATTACTATAGTCTTAATAAGTAACAGTGTATATGATTCTTTTCAGGAAAAGAAAAGCTTTTTGCTTGCTAGAACAATAACTGACCAACACCTTGTGCTAAGGAAAAGCATTATAGCTTCACACATTAAGCCTGATCTGTGGTACAAGAAGGAAACTGAGGCATGCCACTGTTAGGGAGGGCTAGCAACTCTAGAAGTAATTCGAAGGAGTAGAAGGTTACGAGAACAAGAGCGCTTCATCGGTACTCGTGAAGTTATAGCTCATTCGCCCATGGAAGTGGTAAGGAACTAGCTGTAACCGGTTCCCCTAACAGATCTTAAGCAGTATTTTAAATTATAATGGGCCACCCCGACGGGGGTAGAAATGTTTTCTTGTCTTTCAGATCATCAGAAAGCGCTGGTGCCAGCTGAAGAAAAACAACAAACAACAACAACAACAACAACAAAAAACCATGGTTCTGTGTCGTGACACAATAAGTTTGTGTTCTGTCCAAGTTTGTCTTGTGTGTCTTAATTGTAATACGTATTGCAAATATTGTTGTGTGTAAGATATTGTTTTAATGAAAAGATAATCTGAGTAAAGCAGAAGCATTAATTTAAACCATCAAAATTAATAATTGAGCCCAATCAATTGGCAACTTTAAAATTCAGTGAAAAGATAATAGTTTAGAAATTGTTTAAGCTAGTAGAATGTTAACAATGTCTCCACAGGTGAACAAAAAAGGAACTAGAAAGAAGCAAAGAGTGCAGCACGTGAACAGAAGGACTAAGAGTAGAGTACCAGCCCCTTCCCTACAGGATTAGTTTTGCTTTAATAGCTACACAAATGAAATATTTAGCTTCTGTAAATTTGCACACCAACCATAAAAGTGGTTTGGCCAGAGATAAAAATAAATCTATAAGTAACAACACGGGCAAGTAGAACATCAGCATATTTAAGCAAAGATGCCCACAACAATGAGGAAACTAGTAACCTCACCATTGCAATAACAGCTACTTGCCCTGCTACTCATTGGTGCCTGATGAGAATACATGGCCTTAGGCCACCCCTCATTCACACATTTATTTTGTTTATTGTAACAACATGAACACTACGAAGACAAAGAATACACAGTCCTCTGAGTTAAAGTTTGTATGGAATATTGTGGGAAAGAAGCTAAACACTAACATTAGGCCACTGAAGTTGGACCTACTGACTCCCACTGAGGCTTACCACTTAAAGCCCAGACAAAGGTAACCCCTGAGGCATGGCTGTCATTTGTTAAACAATGGCCATTACTAACTATCCTCTATTTGGATATTATTAACCAGGTCCTTAAGGACAAAATAGAGCCTCCCAATTTTGCATCATGTCCTGAACAGACCTGTCCCAGAACCAGGACAACTGTCACTGGTCCTTACTTTGGTGATGTTCCACACTGGTATAGACCAGCTGTGTGCTAGACTAGCTAATCAAATTAGCAAGTGCCTGATTAGGCAACGAAGAAGCTTAGCAGATACCATTGCAGATTGGTTTGAGCCTGGAAACTCTGTCAGCAACACTTATGTCATAGCCCAGAAATTATATAGAGTCCAGGCTAGTAGATGCAGTAATATCCAGTGCCCGTAAAAGCCTAGACACCAGCCAAGCCAACCGATTGATCCTGAATAGTTTGAAAGATCTGTCCAGCTCGGTGTCCATTTAACTAAATCTAACCAGATATTTGGACCAGAGATTAATTAGATTGTTAATTAATGGAACTAAATTAAAGGTATTAGAAAGCCAGTATTAAAGAATAAGATAGCTTTGACCACCCAGCCCTTATGGTAGTGAGTCCCCATCTTCCCCGTCCTACCCATGGGAGTGGGGAAGTAGAGAATCCACGAGGACCCAAAGGCCCACCTTGACAGGGCATAGTATAACAGTTTGTTTTTAGCCCCTCTGGAGATTCCTCACTCAGATCAGATCAGAATAGTAACCTCCCTGCCTGTACCAAGGCAAGAGCATATAGATAGATCAAAGGCATCGCTTATTCTGAAAGTGAGAGAGCCTTCCTATAGCCAAAGATTGTTGCACCCACTTTGATAAAGAAATTTTATGTACCTGCCCATTTAACATCATGACGAATCTGCCTAAGTTTGATGTGGTTGTCTCAGAGAAACAAAAACATCGAGCTGATCCAAATAAACGGTACCTACTGGTGTTTGACTACCCAGACAGATCACTCCATCCTGCCCCTCTACATATCCATCTGTGTGTATAACAGCTCCTCACTGGATGATCCTGACCGTTGATAGAATGCAGCTCTATCGCACTTCAGTCTTCCCCGTCCTACCCATGGGAGTGGGGAAGTAGAGAATCCACGAGGACCCAAAGGCCCACCTTGACAGGGCATAGTATAACAGTTTGTTTTTAGCCCCTCTGGAGATTCCTCACTCAGATCAGATCAGAATAGTAACCTCCCTGCCTGTACCAAAGCAAGAGTATATAGATAGATCGAGAGCATCGCTTATTCTGAAAGTGAGAGAGCCTTCCTATAGCCAAAGATTGTTGCACCCACTT